ATTAATCGGAATTCCTTCGGAATCCCATTGGAAATTCTTTGGAATTCCGACGGAATTACGTTGGAAGTTCCGTCGGAATTCCATCGGAGTTCCAAAAAATTTCCGATTGGATTCCGACGGAATTAGGATTCTAAAAATTAAAAAAAAATTAATCGGAATTCCGTCGGAATCCCATCGGAAATTCTTTGGAACTCCGATGGAATTCCGACGGAATTACGTTGGAAGTTCCGGCGGAATTCTGATAGAACCTCCGGGGGTCACTTTCCGGGGAATCTTTCCAAGTGGGTATTAAAGATTTTAAGGGTTTTTTAACAGAATGAAAAAAAGTACTCTGAAAAAATAATTTATTTGATTCAAATACTCGATTACTTGACTATTGTTAAATAAATTTTTATTTGTATCAAATAATTTTTATTTGAATTAAATAAATTTCACGGAGAAAAATGAAGAATTGAATAAAGTAACTTTTACTATACTTTAAAAGTAAAACTGGAACTTTCCGCAATTTCTGCGCAATTTTTACTGCAGAAATAGTAAAATTTCTTATTTGCGGAATAATTTTTACTATTTTTGAAGTAAATTTTACTATATATGAAGTAACAATTGTCAGAAATGCGCAGAAACTGTGGACAGTTACGGTTTTACTTTTAAAGTAGTAAAAGTTACTTTATTCGTATTTTAATTTTTCTCCGTGTTGGATCCAGAAAATATTGAATCAAATACGGAAAATGTGTTTTCTTGATTCAATACTACTTTTTCCAGTGCAATGTGTAAAAAAATTTAATTCAAAATTAAAATCCCCCCCCTCGTTTTTTTATAACTGAAAAAAATGCGAAAAAAAGGCGCGAAACCACTCATGAAGCTTTAATAATAATTTAATCTCATCATCTCCAAATAATTTAAGTCAGCTAATAAAATCAAAGAATTTCACTTTGATTTGAAAAAAGTAATAAATAATTTAATTAAAAAAAAAAAAAGAAAGGACCAAATAATTATAACAAGAAAAAATTCAGTGCAATTTCTTTTGGATGAAGTTGAGAGGGAATCTTGTTGAGATTTCTTAAGACCAAAGTTATTACCAATGGCTCGTCGAATTATAACCATAAAAGTGAGTTTCCTCGGTTTGAGATTCTTCCGCGCGTTGCCATAGTTTCAAATATGGCGTGAGTTGGGTAGTTTGAGGTGGATGGCTCTCGCTCCGCGAGTCGGGGAATGAAATTTTGTTACCCCCTGTTTGAAGGGCAAAAGAGAATGAGCAAGAGAGAGAGAGAAATAAAGAAAGAGAGAGAGAAGAGATGGATTTGCAGGACGGGCACGATGATATTTGTCTTGTTTACGGGAAGACTTATGCGCGTGTGCCGGACACCAAAGTACGAGCAGCTTCGATCAATAGGCCTCTACTAGAAATCTTACACAAAGAAACTCATACTGACAATCACGTGTATATGTTTATATACATATACACGCACTGGACATTGGCTCGCGAACTCTTACTAAGATCGTATAAGAAAAACTTTTTTTTTCCCTATACCTACTATACCACTCTCTGATCCTTTCACTTGAAACTCGAAAAAGGAATCAGAAGAAACGCTCAAGGAATAAAACGAAATGCCAAATACGTGATTCTAGAAATCTAATATATCCCTTTATATATATTATTCTCGCACGTCTCTCATCATTATTATTCCCTATCAGTCTCCGGATATTAGAAACGTTTCCTCTTTTCATTTTTTCAATCCAACATATTTCTCAATTAAACAAAAGTATATTTTTACCCCAACAACACCAATGAGGAAGTCCAAAGAGTTTCTTTTTAATAATAAAAGAAAAGTCTCTAAGAAACTTTAAGAGAAAAGGATTTCAATGCTCTTTTTCTAACTGTATATATATATATATACACAAGTCAATTGTCCAAAGAGTATGTGAATTGAATATATTTACGTTTTTTTCTTCTTTTAAGAAAATTAAAAAAAACAATTTTAATTTTCTTTACAATCATTATTATTTTAATATTACAAAATAAGTAATCAAAATACTGCCTCTTTAAAGTTATATAGAGATGGTTTAAAATTGACTCTTATACAATTAGGAGCAATTTATTTTGCTCATGCAGTTTAGTTGCGGAACATTGTGCAATTTGTCCTTCTAGGCAAAAAGTGATTTAAAACAAAATTTTTTTAATATTTAGTAGTAATAAAATAATTTTACTAACATTTCCAAAAAAAAAATTTATTCAAAATTTCGCCTAGAGTTCATCAACACATCATCATCCAAGATTTTTTTCAGAACTAAATTAAACGCAGTAAAATTTACTTCGACAACCTGTCATATATATTGCCCGCGAGAAATGATTAACGATTGATCATCGTGACTTGACCATAAACCCTATTCGAAAATTCATACTCTTTATTATTCCGAAAATAACATGTTTTTCTCAATCACCCATTTCCTGATTTGAAAGCCAAAAGCTTTATTCTTCTGTTACTCCCCTTTTTTTTAGGGGGGGTGGAGGGATTTTGTGTGTATATATATATATATATACACTATACAGAAAACTACTGTTGTTTGGATGATGCGCGTCTAGGCTGGTGGAGCCGATTGCGCCAACTGCAAAAGGGGATTTTACCTTTTTTTTCAGAAATTCCTAACATACGGGCGTATTTACGACTATTTTCGGAGAATCTGTTCAAATGATTACGAGCCACGCGGTACTGAACCGCAGTTCCTCACAACACACTACCTTGGATAACTCAACCCTCTATATTTTCAACCCTCGCATAATCCAATTTCCATTCTACTAGTCCCTTATCGAGCATTCAATACTGTTGATGCTGTCCTTTTCATCCAGACTGACTAAATCCTCAAAATTGCTGTCAATTTCCCAAAAATTCGATTTCCACGTTCATATCCTTTTTTTTCTCATATATATTCTTCTTTATTGCGCGAACATTAATTTATTTTTGTTTGATTTTCAAATATTAATGCCTCACAATATGCCCTTATATATATTTATACTCTCCAAATTTGAATTAAAGAAAATGTAATTTATAATCTTTGCCAGGGAGTCACAATCACTGTATATACAACAAGCTCCTCGATTAAAATTTACATCATTAAAATAGCTGCGTTGATGGCAATTTTCACATAGTACGGAAACCTTCCCGTATATATACGAAATTTGCTATAGCGCTTTGATTGCTTTTTGGCATGAAAGCATATCAACGATTTTGATATGCCAATTTAGTATGAGCCTCGAGCAAAAATCAGAAGCATACACGCGTATAGATGTATCAAAATTTCTCTCCGTGTAATTATTAAAGCAAAAGATTACTATTTTTTTAATGCGACTGTGTAATAGCCATCAGTGTTTTTATAAAAAAAAAACCAACATTTTGATTTTTGTAAAATCTGAGATCAAAATCACGATTCACAATTCCACTTTTAAAAAATTTTAAATCCAAAAATTTCAACACTTTGTAAAATTCTAAGCCTTGATGATCTTTTCAATCAATATAAAGCAGTAAATCATACTGATCCTTCATTCTTCCTTATTGCCATATGTATTTCTTCAACAAAATTAATTTACACATTAAATTGTGGGCTATTATTTTAATACCAAAATGGATTAACATAAAATTCAACGCTTTAATCCATCGAAGATTAAAATAATAATCAATCTAAAGATTAAAATTCTAAATTAAAATTCTAAATTGTAACAAAGAAAATTAAAAGGCATTAAAATAAGCTGCAACGCTTATTATTTTAATCCAATTTCGCTTATTTTAATACCAAAATGGATTAAAATAAGCAAAATTGGATAAAAATAAGAAGCGTTGCAGCTTATTTTAATGCCTTTTAATTTTCTGTGAAACTGTCAAAAATTGGACTTGGAAACGTTTACAATTTACCAAAGAGAACTTTATCCAATAAAAGATTTTTATCTTTTGTGCAACGTTTTTAAAATACCTCACACTGAAAAATGTTTTTTGCCAACAAAACGTTTGGTTGGTATTAAAACCAAAATTTGTTTTAACAAAATTTTGCCAATCTCAATCCTAACTTTACAACAAGAATCCTTTTTTTTTGGTTGTATCAACCAAAGTAAGATTGAGACTATCAAAATTTTATTGAGACAACAAAAAAATTTTGTTTGTTTAATTCACATCTGTTTAATTAATGTTGATTAAAATAAAATTTTACAAGGACCTCTTTACAGATTTAATTATTTATTGTAGACATATATAATTTGAAATTTTAGTTTCAAATCATAACATTTGAATATTATATGACTACAATAAATAATTAAATCCGAAAAATGCCTTGTAAAATTTGATTTTAATCAACATTAATTAAACGGATTTGAAATAAACCTTTTTTTTGTTGCCTCAACAAAATTTTGATAGTACCAATCTTACTTTGGTTGACACAACTAAAAAAATGATTCTTGTTGTCTTGACTAAAATTCAGATTGAGATTGGCAAAATTTTGTTAACACAAAAAAATTTTGGTTTTAATACCAACCAAACGTTTTGTTGTCAAAACCAAAACCTTTTTCAGTGGCATATAGTTTATAGTATACAGAAAATTGTACCGATAATAAAAATGCATTGCAGATTAAATTAATACCACAAAAGATGAAAAAAATCAATTTTTTCTGAAAGTTAATAAAAATTCTAAGAAAATGATCAAAAACCAATAATTCTACGCGCAGATTTTTAAGAAAAACTTTCAAGGATATTTTTTTCTAAAAAAAAAATGGTTAATATTTTTGCGTTTCACTATGGATAAATTCGAGATAAAATTAAATATCTCATCCCCCTTCATTCTCAGATAATCCACATACATATATGAATCGTCTAAATTTTCCAGAAAACGCATATAATCAGAATGACGGGAGAAGGGATCGAAAGGGAGGGTAAAATGGAAGGGGGAGCCAAGTTTTGGATCGGCGGAAGGGACAGAAATGGTGTATGACAGATCGGCACGAGCAAGACGTCGGGTCGAGCGTGTGCCCGTGTCTGCTCCTCACACATTTTCACTCTCACTTGAAAAAAAAAAACCCAACTTCCCAACCTGGTGAAAAGGACAAACATTCAAACATTGAGCGCGCGTAAAAGTGGTCCTTTATACACACATTTTTTCTTCTTCTTCTTCTTCTTTCATTTCCACTTTTTTCTCTCACTCCGATCATCATCTCTTGTCCTTCTTCTTCTTTTTTTCCCCCCCATATTTCCAGAGTTGAATCTTGGCATTTTTTTCCTTTTCTTTTCCCTTATCCTTACACCCCACCACTTGACACAAGAATACCTGTTCGCTCGCAAGAAGAGAGTGTGCGCACTGACCATTGTCCGCGCCAATCGGGGATCCCCCGTTCCTGGACTCTAGTGACATCCACTAGACTAGATGATTTCCCCCACCTCCCAACAAGCTACCCCACCATTTCCTTGCCACGTGCCGATAACGCCCTTCTTTCGATATACCGGCTACGAAGAATTTTTTCGAAAGACCTTTTTATAATACGTCAGCACACACAGAGAGTGAACGAAGGGTTCCTCATTTCTCGCCGCCGGTGAAACAATTTTTAATCGATGTGTCTCGTGACAGTTTTGTTTTCTTGTGTGACGCTCCGAAAACATGTGGCGGGAGAGTTTAAACAGTGTGACAATTAATTCTTGGAGAAAAATACATTTTCAACAGAGATACTACCGGCAAACAAAAGGGATTTATTACACAAGTGAAAGTGACAGTAAAACAAAACTTCAAGCTTGGAGATGATGATGATGATGATGATTGTGATTGACATTCATTTATTTAGCCTATAGGGTAAGAAAAAATGATCCACTGATCTTTTTTTCCCATTGATGATCTCTATTTAAAGTGCCGCGGAAAATTTTTTCACTCTTATCAATTTTTTACTAATTCAAAATAATTTACAATCTTCGATCAGTGAAACTCCATTCATTGATCAATTATTGATATTGAATTTTTCAATGATTGATCAGTGAATCTTCAATTAATGATCAGTAGATTTCACGTTGATTTTAATAGATTTACTGATCCAATTTTACTATCAAAAGATTTTATTTTTATTAAAGTAATAATTAATTATAAATTAGTTCAGTAAAATTTTATTGATAAGTAATAATTAATAATTAAATTAATAATTGAAAATTAAGATCAATAAAATTTTATTAATCATTTAAATTTTCGATTGATTTCAGATTCTTGATTAGTAAACCATTCAGACTAAAATCTTATGATTGTCAATGAAAATATTAATTACTATCTTGTACAGTGAAACATCAATTTATTAGTAAATTTCACTAATTTGTAAAATATTAATTATAACAAAAGAATAATCAGAATTTTGGTTAGAGTATATTAAACATTAAATTATATAAATTTCACTGATCAATGAATCAATCAATAAATATATTCTCAGTGGAATTAATCAAGAGATTTTATAAATTAGTAAATCTGATTAATTAACCCCTTATTAATCAATAGATTTTACAAACTAATCGGTAAATTTTATTTTTATTTTTAACCCATTAGTAAATTTAAATTATTTTCGAATCATTAAAACCTTTAATACAAATTAATTGCTACTAATTATGACATATTTCATAGTAGTTTAATAATTAAGAGTAAATTATTTTCAAGTAGTAAAAAATTTTAACACGGATTAATTGTCAGAGTGATTAAATAAACACGCGAGAAAATTTGATTATCAATACTAATCTAGAATTTTAATTAAAATAATTAGAAAATTCGAGTAACAATAAAAATTTTATTAAACAAGCGTCTAAATTCTAGTTAATTAAGTAAAATCCTATTTTAGTCACTTATAAATTAATTCCAAGATCTTTTTCTAAAATAAATTAAAAATATTAATATTCATTTATATTTTTATAAAAATAAAACAAAATAATAGTTAACATTCTACTGTATTTTTATTGTATTGTATTTTTAAAAACTAATATTTCGTTTTCTTTCAATTTAATTTCTATTAATTTGATTCTCAATTTCTTATAGATTTGAAAGTTTATTATTTTTTCAATTTCCCATAATTTTTTGTTATAAAAAAACTCTTGTAATTTCAAATAAAACGTTAATTATGTTTTTCTCATTCTTATTAAAAAAAAGAAGTAAAAAAAGATGTTAATTTTTTGTTTATAAAAAATATCATTGACATGTAAAAGATAAAAATGAAAAAAAAATAGATAAACATTTATTTTATTTATGGAACAAAATCTCAGTGTCACTGAAGTAACAAATTAATTCAAAAAAAAAAATTTATCATAACTCAATTTTAATTTGATTTATTATTAATTCAATTTCCGTTTCATTGAAAGTTTAACTTATGCTTAACTTAATTTTCAATTTAATTTAAATTTGCTTCAATGATTTTAATGTAATCTATATAAATGTCATTTAAATTATATAATTTCAATAATTGTATATAAAGATTTTATAATTATAAATGAAATTTTTAGAAAATTATTAAAATTCTAATTTAAACGACTCTTTTCTTTATCATAAAAAATGCGATTAAAAATATTAAATCTAGCTAGAAACTTGTTTTCGACAATTTTTCATTTTTCGCTTATCGAATTTTAGATAATAAAGGTTAAAGTCGAATAAACTGAGAAACAATATGTGCAGTGAAATACTAGATTAAAAAACTGTTTCGAAACTATAAAATTTTTAAAATGTCAATATTTCATGAATTCGAACTAAAATAATTTTCAAATAGTTTCTCTACAGCAATAATAAACATTTTCTTTGGAAATTGATGAAAAAAAAAAAATCATTTATTATAGAGATGAGAATGTAGAAGAAAAAATATATAAATTATTGTAATTTGCATTTTAAAAAAAGCATATAAAAATCTGAGAAGGAAATTAAGATAAAAAAGATAAGAAACCGGAAAGAGATTTCATAAGATTTAGTGGGGAGAGTTACTTGATCTATATCTGGAAATTTTAATCAAGAAATTTCTTAATTACAAGTTTTTTTTTTTAATTTCGCTCCATAATTCTCCTAAGGGAGTAAAACTTTTTCTACACTTGTATAAAATGTTTTAACACAATTTAAAATTTTTCAATTATGATTTTAAAAATTAAAAAAAAATTCGAAAATTACTTTTCACCGATTTTTGGAAATTGGTTTTCCAAATATATAAGAGAATACGCATATGAGTCACCCTCACCAGGACCCTGATTCAGTTGGTGTTCCTATCGAACCATTTTCGAGGGTGTCTCACCACGTCTCGTTCGCCAACTTTCGGTTTTCTTTTTCTCCCTTCGTATACGAAATTCTCGTTAGGCGCGTGAACCCTCCACTTCGATTTTCGTCGACTAAAATCATTATAACATTCTCAATTAATGCCGCCATGCGCATAGAGGCCTTATTTCAACCTCACCCCCTCAAATATAATTTCGAAATCCTCTTACAGGCATCGCATCAACTAGATTCATTAATAAAGTATCAAATTCCTGATTGGGGGTGGCAGCCTCCAATATTCAAGAGGGCTGGAATCGTTCAACATTATACTTTTTTTTTTCCACGTTGTAGCAATTTTTGACGGTCAGAAAATCAATATATGTAACGAGGGGTCTATTGAAACAATCATCCCAAAAATTTCATTTTCCTTCGTCAATCGTTATAAACTTAATCTCAATATATAATGCACACATTCTCAATTCTAATATCTTGTCAGATAATAATTTATAATTTTTAGTTTTTGGTATTGTTTTTTTCTTTCCAATCATACTAATTATTCGATATTGAAAATAAATAAAAAGAAAAACATTTTGAACAGTAAATTTCATTATCTGATTTCAGACATTAGAGTCGAAAAAGAAACGGTGCCACCCGGAGAAGGTAGGCGAGAGCTAAAAAAGTGGAATCTCGAGAATGACGTCGACAGTGGTCCAGGAAGTGAGGCTGTCCGATCCAGGAGAATTGGACAGTGATGGATCGAGCAGCGAGGATCGAGATGCCAGGAAACGACTTCTTGGCGAGGCAGATTCTGCTGGTCCAAAGAAACGACGAAAACAATCGACTCCAGTGAGATTCCCAACTTCCTTAATGTTGGGCGATCATCCTGAGTCCGAGGAAGACGAGGAGCAGGATGCAGTTTCGGAAGGTAAGCCGAATTCGCCAGCGGCAGAATCTCTTCAAGGTCATCAAAGAATAAAAGACGAAAATTTAAATACAGAATTCCGCTGTCAGTATTGTAGTCAATCATTCGATGGCAAAGCAACTCTCGATTTGCATTTAGAATGCGAGCACAATCTTGTAGCGTCCCAATTAAATTCCGAGAGTCAATCACCACAGTCCGGAAGTCAAATTCAAATGAAAGTAGAAACGATCAATCAATTAGATCAGACCCTTAATTTAGTTAATGTCCCAAATATCGAAATGAAAAATTTAGCTTCCCCGTGGCTCACGGATCAGGTGCAATCACAAAATCAACAATCAAACGAAGAATGGTCAGCCTCAATTCACATGATGCCAAAATTGCCAGCCTTACCAAATTTTCCCGGTGGTCTACCTCAATATTTACCATTACCTCCAGGATTTCCACTTTCCGATTCTAGTCAGATTCATAGACCAAATTTAGGCCCAGCTCCAATGAGGATTTTCAATCCTGACGCTTACTGTGATCTTTGCAATAAAGAATTTTGCAATAAATATTTTCTCAAAACGCACAAAGCCAATAAACACGGGATTTATGACTCACTAAATCCAGTGCCAATGGCCGAGAATAGTGGAGCTTTATCTGGACCAATTTATCCTATTGGACAAATAACAGGACAATTGCCCGGAAACAGTGTCAAAATGGAACCGATTCTAACAGTAGATAATAATGTACAATCCCCAAAGATAAATCAACCAAGTATTCCATGTGATGACATGCAAAAAGTTCACACTGATCAAGGAGATCAAACAAATATCATTCAAACATCAGACAATGAAAGAGATCTTCAGTATCAAAGTCCAGGTGCAATGGAGATGCTTTTTAAACAAGAATATGGACTCGAACAGGAAAACAGTTCATTCATGCCCCCACCGAGGCATCTCTCACCCCAGGCCATTCAACAAGCGAAAGAATCAAATTTCAACGTGGAACGTCTTCGTAAACTTGGCGTTCTAAATCCTGATGCATTTTGTGAAATCTGCTGCAAAGAATACTGTAACAATTATTTTTTGCGCACTCATAAACTTAAAAGGCACGGAATAATCATTCAAGACGAGAAACCACCAATAAATCCTGGATCAGCAGCTACTTGGCATCAGGTGCAAACCAGTCCTCTAAATCTCATTATCAATGAATCGGGCAATGGATCCGAGTACAGCGATCGATCAACCGACGATCACGAATGCAATTCTTGTGGTATACGTTTTCAAACGCAAGGTCTCTTTGAATCTCATCGGCAACGAGTTCATCCCGACGAAGAAATTTCATCAAAAAATGATTTTGAACACGACACTCTAGATCAACGTTCCATTTCAAACAACGATTCAATTTCAGAGGATTTACAAAAACTCCAAACAATGATCCTACAATTAAATGGCATTGAAAATAAAATTACCCCCTGTTCCATTTGCAGTAAGGAATGTGATTCAAAAGCAGCATTAAAAATTCATATGCAGGAACATGGTATCACATCAGAGGATGCCAGTTCACCAACTCATAGTCGAGAAAAATCCCTAACACCCCTGAGTACAACAACATATTGTACACTCTGCGAAAAGGAATATCCTAATCAAGACGCCCTACGAAAACATATATCCGATGATCACAAATCAATTTCAAATAGTGATTTAAATTCCCTTCCACCGATACCATCAATTTCCATGCCCACAACACCAACATCATCTGTACCAACACCTGAACGTAAATCCTCATCACTGACACCAACATCAAGTTACTGTGAAATTTGCAACAAGGAACTGTGCAACAAGTACTTTATGAAAACCCACATGCAACGAATGCATGGTATCGAAATAGAAAACGGTGCTCAAATTGGTGGTGTTATTTGCAACATTTGTAACAAGGAATTGTGCAGCAAATACTTTTTGCGAGTACACAAACACAATACACATGGAATTATTGAAGAGGGATCAAATCTCTCAACAAACAGCAAACCCGAAACATTTGATGCATCAAGTTCTGATGATTCGGCATTAAAACCCGAACAACTTGGCGATTTAAATCATCGATATTTTACACATTTCACCGAAGTTTGTCCAATTTGTAACCGACGATTTCGAAGTATCAAATGGCTCAAAGCACATCTATTGGGTGATCATGGCAAATTAGGTGTTGACAAATGGAAAGAATTGGAACAACAATATCAAGCGAATCATACAAAAAATAATCGTTTACCCGGTACATCTCGTGTTCCATCAATAAATTCAAATTTAAAAATACCAAATGGCTTTGAATCCACTCAAAACAAAGGCACCGATCTCACATCACTTGGCAATCAAGTACTCTCCAATCTTTTCGGCTCATCGACCGAAGATCAACAATCCAAAACATACAGATGTTCCTATTGTAATTTCTCAACGACAGTTTTACCCTTTCTCTTCCTTCACGAGAGATCACATACAAATCCACAAGAAAATATCACCGAAAACGAAAGAATCCTCCAATGTCCACTTTGTCCACACAGTTTCTCTCAACCCGATCATTTTCATCATCATCTACTCACGCGTCATCAATTTCCAAATTTTCTCTCACAATTCCCACCGCCATTATTCAATAACATGAGGCTTGAAACATTTGGTGAAAAAATTCTCGAATCAAAAGAACAATTCAATGAAAAAATCATTGAATCATCAAAAGATGATGATGATCAAAAACAAAATTCACGAATTAATTTCAATGAAAGTGAATCTCAAAAGAAAAATGACACTGCCGTTCAAGTGACACCGCAGGGAGTTTATAAATGTGCTCAATGTGGATTTGCAACAGCAAATTTAAATCGAATAAAAAAACACATTAAAAAAGATCATAAGGGATTTGGTGAACCAACGGAAAGTGTCATCTCAGAATTGAGTAAAATTCTCAAGGAAGTCGCAAATAAACATAAAGTTCCAGCGAGTTATGCGATGCCACAAGACATGAACTCAAATCCAGAGAAGACAATAATGCAACCATTTTTAATCGAAGAACAACAATTTCTTTCATCTCAAGATTGCAGCACAACTGGTAGCGAAGAATCTGGATCAGCGAAACGTTTTGCACCGGCCTTGGTCTACCTGCCAGTTAAGGCTCGTGTCAGTGGTTCTCTCACGGCCTCATTCACATTAAGTCCCGCGTAAACTAATAAAATTTTCTCCAAGGACAATTTTCTTTTTCCAAATAGAAGAAAAAAATTCTTTCCATCATTGAAAGCCTCAATTTCTGCCTATGAGAATATCACAAAGAGTTCTCTCTGAGAATTTTCTTTCTATATGAGAAGATTTGAAAAAAAAAAAACGATGGTCCAGATTGCACCTCGTTACAATCAGAGCACACGGTATTTGTTCCTAAATTGCCAATGAAAATATAGTATTTTTTTAATAAAAAAAAAAAGTTCTGATTAATTTTTTTGATCATTTCTATTTCATTCACTCGGTATACGTATATTTGTACAAAAAAAAAAAAATCGATCATCCCTCGATTAAAAACTAATTGGCCCCGTATTTAGAAAAAAAAAAAGTTGTTGTAATACGTATATTCTAATCGCGATGTTATAGTGTAAATATTAATTATAAAATTTGATTAAGATTGATTGAGTGATCGACAAAGTTCCTATATTTTAAATGCGTCGGGCCCTCTCAGGGAAGATCGACAAGATTCTTGTCTAAAAAAAAACCAAAAATTTAGTTCTCATTTATTTTCAATTTCATTTTTATCTATATTCATAATATAAATATATATATTATAATAGTCGAACCTTTTACTACGCGCCAATTTAATATGATAAGACCAAGATTTATATAAAAAAAAAATAATAATATAAAAAAAACTATAGGATATTTTTCAATACGGGAACAATAGAGCACGGATAGATTTTGCGATAAATACCATTGTTATCATTATATAAAAACGACATAAAAAATAATCCCGTCTGATGATTATATGAAGAAAAAAAAAGTACCGATAATTTTTAAGTACGATTTAAAAAAAAAATTAGAGAATATCAAGGAGCAAAAACTAACAAACTCAGGGTGAACACAGTATAACCCAGTAACAAAAGTACAATATTATACACAGCCAACTCATTATATAATTGAAAAAATATATTGAAAAAAAATGTATGATATAAAGCCCTAAGGTTTTTTATAAGGATATCCCCCCCCCCCAAAAAAACATTGACATGAAAATGACCAAAAAAAAAAAAACGCTCTATTAATTTAGTAATCTAGTCAAGCATAGCTAGTCTCTAAAAAAACAAAAAAATAAATAAAACTTAAAAACCATATTTATCGTCACAGAAAAAAATGGATATTAAGAATTTAATAAATAATAATATTAGAGTGATATTACAGGGATGTAAAGAAAGGGATGTATTATCTAGATTTTAACGCTTAGTATTTACACATTTTCATTTAACATCAGATGCGCTATTGAATTAATTTAATGTCTCGAAAATTAACTCGAGCAGTTAAAATATTCAAATATCTATCACGCAACAGCCGAAATTTTATTTAATGTAATTTACTTAAATATGCGGTTTCTCTTATAATATCATAAATGTATGTTTAACATAATAACAGATAATTATTTATCATAAAATTTTTTTTCCAACACGTTTCAATTTTACATAGAATCAATTAAAAATTATCAACATAATTAATTTAGAAAACTAATCAAATGATATAAAACAACATAAAAAAAAAAAATTATAAAAATAATAAGAGTTAGAGTAATAATAGTAAGAGAATTTGCATTTTAGTAAAATCATATTTTATTATCTTGATAAAAATTATGAAAATTTGTAAAAAAAACTAACTGTTATTATGATAATTATTGTTATGATAAAATAAATAAATAATAGCTTCTAAATAAAAATTAGATTCAAACGTAACTCGATAATAAGCAGATTAAATTGTTGATTCGAAGCCATATATATATATATTAAATCAAATAAACGAAATAATAGGCTACGTCGTCATCAGTTAATTTAATATTATAATTTTTTTTTTAGTAGAAATTTATAATTTCAATTTAATTCAACTTTTTTTTTTTGAAAAATTCTGAACACTAAGGATGAAATAAAATTAACCAAATGAAATGAATAAAATAGAAGAATTTATAAATTCAAGTATATTAAAATATTCAAAATAATATCTAAATATATAGTGCAATTTCATAATTGAAAAAATAAAATAGTATTCTCATCCATTTTTTTCTGTGACAATGATGCCGCAAAATTTGAGTACATTGAAATAAACTACAAAAAATTTCTTTCAAAAAAAAACTGTTTTATTCGCAAAAAATATTGCAACAAATCACAAAAGGGACTCATTTTGCGGCATCAGTACACCGAAAAAAAAATTCTAGAAATAAATATTTTCATACCTATTTTACAATAATTCAATATGTATTTTGTTCTTAAATTCAGTATATTCTACTCTTAAAATAAAAATAAATTATACATTTTTTACATTTAAAAATATTTTCTTTTGAAAACGAATGTATTTATATCATAAAATATAAATGAGAATATATTCTAAATTTAGGAATATATTATCAAACATTATAAATAAATTAATAGTTTATTAAGAGTAAAATATACTGAATATATCTATATAAATAGTGAATAATAAAATAAATTATTCTAAAATAGGTGACAAATATATTTTCAATTTTAGAATTTTTCTCCTTTTTTTCGGTAATATCTCTCAACTGCCTTTTGAACGGCGTACGGTGAAACGATGACTTAAAGTTCCTTTTGAGAAATTGTTCGTTTTCGTGCCTTGCAGCTTGCAAAGAAACTGAGAATCAAAATTTTTTTATATGAAAAATAAAAAAAAAAAAAAAATGTAAAATATATCTAGGTCAATAATGCTCTTCTCTCTCGTAATGGCCAATTTTTTTTTGTGCAATGGGGGGGTTTAACGAATCACCTTGAAAACGGAAAATTATTACTTTCACCCCTTTTTGTTAGATGACAACGAAAAAAAAAAAAAATGTCAGCTTTTCCCCCTTTTTGCGTATATCACAGTGTTTGAAACGACCGTTTTCAGGTAAATTCTACGTTTTTAGGTGATTTTTACCCCCTTTAAGTAAAGTGCCAGGTACTCAATATTAACGGCCTATATGACAATATTCGACAGAAAAATGCTTGAAAATACGATGCAGCTGTTCCCACATGGTATGTGAGTGACCACGCGGTTGTTGGAAATTGCAGCCACCCCTCTAACCCAACATCACTCCCCAAAAATATATAATATTCGTATTCCGGATGAAGGGACTGATATAGACAGACGGACGGACAAACTTAAGGACTTGTTTCCGTTTGATGCACACGCCATTGCATTGACAATGTCCTTCCCACAAAATTAGACTGCGTAAGCGTGATAGCCGCAAATTTTCATTTGTTCCCTTTCACCTCATCATATATATATATATATATATATAAGTCCCTCCCAAATTATTTTCTAACCAATGTTTGGAAGAAAATCCTTAACCACAACCTCATTTGTCTTTCTATATTCTAAGCCAACATTATTAGCTCTAATAATAGAAGTTTTTATTGAAACAAAAATTTTATACAAACTTAATAATGAAAATTAGTTCTCTAACATATGACAAAGTGGTTGCGGGGGGGGGACTTTTTTTTTATCGTTAATCTTAATTATAGCATTAAATTTTTTATTACTTGTGCATTTCAATTTTTGTCATTTTTTTTTTTTTTTATTTTGTACGGCGCTCTTTCCCAGACACTATTTAAGAATGAAGTAGATCCTCGCGTGACCCGACATCACAATCGAAATATAATTGTTTCTTCGTGCACAAAAGTGTCGAATCACGTTTATTTCGTGTGTCTATCGCGATCGCCCCTGATTGACCTTAAATTACAAAATGTACAAAACTTTTCGGAAATTTTTTACTTTTGTGCGAAATAAAACTTTTTTTTTTGTCAAAGTCATTTTTTTAATCACACAAAATTTATGTTTATGATTAACGATTTTGAAGAAAAAATAATAATAATAATAATTTCTATGCAAATTATTATAATTTTCTGTTTATAAAAAATATTATTATAACATTTTTGAATAACAATATTTAAAAGAAAATATTAATTTGTATAGGCGACAATTTTTATTATTATGCGGATGAAATTTTTTTTTTAATAGTTACAGTGGAACCTCGATTATCCGAACCGAAAAACATTTTATCCGAACTTCTATTATCCGAACTATTTTTTGGTCTCCCGAATTTTAAATTTTATTTTCTCTATTTATTTTATCATTCATTCATTTCTGAGAAGAATGCGTGATTCGGCATCTAAAAAACGAATAGATGCGCTATCTTTCAAAGCAAAATAACCAAATTTATGCCAAAAAATTCTTAAAAATTTCCGAATTTTCTGAGCTTTTAATATATATTTACATATATGTATATACTTATGTATATTTAAAAACATATGTATTAAGTTAAATATATAGTTCAACTGTACATTTTTTTACTTTAATCATAAAAAAAATTAAAATCTCTATTATCCGAATTTTCGATTATCCGAACCCGGCCTTGCCTAAATTAGTTCGGATAATCGAGGTTCCACTGTAATTATAAACGTTGTAAACTTCACGTGAGAAATAATAAATAAAAAAAATAATAGAAATTGCATTTTACTGTATATGTGAAAAGAATTAACAAATTTGTTGTAGCAACAAATTTTTTTTGTTCGTCTAACAATTAAAAATTGTTGAGAAAACAAAAAATTGCTTTCAGATTTATTATGTAGTTTTACACGGAGAAAACTATGGGAAAACTAATAAAGTAATTTTTACACTGAAAAAAAAGGGTTTGGTATTGACTACCAAACGTTTGGTTGGTATTTAAGGAACCAAATTTTTTTTGGCTGAATCAACAAAATTTTGGTTGTCCCAATCAAACTTTAGTTAAGACAACAAAAATCCTTTTTTCTAATTTTGGTTGTGTCGAACAAATTTTGATTGAGACAATTAAAATTTTGTTGATTCAATAAAAAAAATTTTGGTTGCTTAAATACCAACCAAACGTTTGGTTGTCAATACCAAACCCTTTTTTCATTGTAGGTACTATACTTTAAAAGTAAAACTGAAACTGTCCGCAGTTTCTGCGCATTTCTGGACAATTTTCTACTCCAAAAATAGTAAAATTTACTATTTTTGGTATAATTTTTACTATTTCAGGAGTAAATTTTATTACTTCTGGAGTAAAAATTGACAGAAACTGCGGACAGTTTCAGTTTTTACTTTTAAAATAGTAAAAGTTAATTTATTTGTTTTTCCATTTTTCTCCCTGAATATTAAAAATCCGATTATTAGATTCAACAATTTTCTCAGTGATTGAAAAATGATTTCCGACAAAAACTGCATCGTTGATAAAAATTCTACCCTTAAAACTATTAACCTTGGACGTAAGTGTCACTATAAAAATACATTCGAAAGCGTATCGATACCAGTCTGTTCGTATGGAAAGTATTCTTTTTTTGTCTTAAACCCCATAAATATTCGTTGATCCCTAAGCGTGTCTATTGTGAATCATTCAGACAAACCCCTCGAGTCGACGGTTTCCAAAAATTCGTATAAATTAGTATGCGTACGTCTAAAAGCATTAGCATATATTCTATACTATATATATATAGGGGAGGAAAAATCGGCCATTACGGGACCAATGAGAGAAAAAGAGAGAAAGCAAAAAAGAAGTGAGACAGAAATAATAAAAATATACATAGAATGGAAAAAGCTATGGACAAAAATCTATACATATATTTGATGGGATATAGAGAGAATCGGCAAGAGGGTAAAAATAAAAATGGGGGGGGGGGTGAATTAGAGAATTTGAGTATATTGGGGGAAAAAAAATGGAAATTTTCAGGACCATTGTTAAAAGTCGAAAAAGATGGGTCAACTAGAATGGTCCATCGTATATAGTACTCGCATCTGGTCTTTGCATAAATGCAAAGATCAGCTAAGGTCAACTCCGTGACCTTGGGTGGACCCAGTCACGAATTTTTCTCTGGGGGGGAAAAAAAAAGAAAAAATAAAAGAAGTTACACATCAAGAGAAAGATGAAAAATAATCGAAGTTTAGCGACGCGTGCCCTTTTGTCCATTCTCTCACCCTAAATCCTATAGAGGGACAATGACATGCAAAATGCATGTACGATAAACGTCCTTTTTTTTAATTGCGCCCGTTATATTATATGCGCTCAGAAGAAGAGAGAGAGAGAGAGAGTGCATTGCGAAATTAATGGTCCGAGAGCATTGCTCCCATACCGTTTCGGATTTAGTGTGACAGATATACATATTTTACTGTTACTCATACCATTTTATGAAAATGATAACCAAGCAGAAATATTGTTTTTTTTTTCACTAGTATAAAAATGTCTTGTTTTAATAATATATACAAATGCAAACGCAACAGGAAAAATTTTTTGCATTAATTAATGGCCTGTTTGAATTTTATTGTACAGAAAATATATTCCAAAATTGCAAATATTATTTTCAAGCATTTTTTTTTAAATACATTTTTATGTTAGAAAAAAGTTATTTTCATAAATAGCGTATGTTTTAAAATTAAAATATTTTTTTGTCCATTATCAGTAATAAGGAGAATAGAAAAATACCTATTTTGTATATATATAAATGATAATAATTTTTACATTTCAGTAAGGAAAT